TATATATATATATATATATATATATATATATATAATAAAAATATATCCTTCCACTCTGGATCGATAAATCTGTCCAAAGTAATTTCACTACAAAGACCGGGGAAGAGAGATTTAGAATAGATGGGGAAAGAACCCTGCTTCTGTTAACAACCCAGTTGAAATGTGAATAATAAAGCCGTGATGAGTATGCGGCGCTAGGCAAGGGGAAAGGTGATGTTCAAGGAAGGCAAATAACAATGGTAGAAGTACCGCACTAGTGAGCATTTCAACCGCATGCATATCGTTTTTATTTACATGTTGCTGCTCAAAGAGATACAGATGGACAATCGCCTCCCTCGCCCCCCCCACCCCACCCAAAATAAAATAAGGAAGAGGCGAGGTATAATGAACGCAAACGGAACGAGATATCGTTGCAATTATCAGACTTTGATCTACACATGAGAGGATATGTTATCCCGCCCAATTCAGTCCGTCAACTTCCCCCGTTCCTGGTAATACATAAGACAAGTCCGAATGGATACCATTCCCTTTTTTGTGTGTGTGGTGGGGGTGAGGGTAGGCGTGCGTTTCGCAACGGATTTATTCCAGCACCGTCGGTACCGTCCGCAGCCACTCCCTCACCCGCTCCACGTCCTCCCGCAATTCCTCCGGCCAGGTATGCCGCAAAAGCAGCAGCGCGAGCTCCGCGACGGGCGCGTTGCTCGCGGGTTCCCGCATCGCCCCGTTCTCCTCGCTTTCTTCGTCGTTCTTGTCGACTAAATGCCCTTCCGGCGGGAAGGAGACGGGCACGAGGCGGAGCTCGCGGCATTCCGCGAGGAGCGCGGATTGCAGCTCCTCCCGCCGGATATTCGCCTCGCGAAGCTGCTCCTGCAGCCCCACCATCTCCTTCGTGAGCGTCGCCGTGTTCATCTTGCTCCAATCAATCAACTTCAGAAAGGTTCGCAGGTTCTCCTGGAGTTTAATCAACTCCACGCCGTTGCCGTTTGTGAGGTGATTCAGCTGCGTGGCGCGAATCAAGAGCTGATTATGACATCGCCAATCCCACAACAACGCCCGCCGGGCGTGATAATTCAACCGAATCGTCGCGATCTTCATATCCCGCGTCCGCAACGGCGACGACCACCACGGCAGACTCACGTTGTTATGCAATTCGGTAATCGCAAGGGCGGATTCGCGGATTTTTCGCAACGCATCGGCGATCGCCTCCATCTCGAGGCTCCACATCGCATCCGAGGCGCTCGCGACCCCTTCCCGCGGCATCGGCGGCGCCGCGGAGTAGTCGGCGACGGATTGCTCGAGCGAATACACCTCATCCGCCGCGGCGGTTCGCGCGCGTTGCAGCTGCAGCCGCCACTCCAAACTATCGCGATCGTTTCCCACCACCAGCAAGCCGTCGGAGCCTCCGTGGCGGCTCCGACAATGCAATCCTTCCCAATACCGTTGATGCCCTTCCTCGATCAGGGCCTCGACCTCGCGAGGGAGGACCTTATCCTGCGTGTGATCCAAATCCCGCAATAACAACCGAAGCGTCCGACTCATGCTGCTCAGGGTGCGGTCGATGCCTTGCGCGGCGCGGCCGTGCTCGCCGACGGCGTCGGGAAGGCTGCAGCTGCCTTTGAGCGGCGTCACCATCGCGCGACCGCCGCCGCTGACGGAACGCGCCATACCTCCGGCGGAAAAAACGCCGTTGAGCACCCCTTTTCCCCTCGTTTCCTCCTCCATGAGGCCGCTATATCCCCCCGCTCCTCCACCGCCTCCTTCGCGATCGCCCGTGGTGACGTTCGACATCATCGCGAAGATGCTTTTGAGTTTATTTCGCCGCGCCTCGACGGTCTCCGTTCCCGCCCTCGCGGAGGTGGGTAAGGGCGGCAACACCACATTCGACGTCGTATCGTTTCGGGGCGATTTGTTCTCCATGAAGACGCCGATCCACGTCTAGGAATGATTGACACACCCCAGAACCTATTCTTCGTCGGGTCTGTTTTCCTTTTTCTCAAATAAGAATAATAATAACAATAATAAAAAACGAAACCCCAAGAGGCGCTGTACACCTCCTTGTGTATCCGCTTTCCTATTACCACTTTTGGTGATACAAAATAAAGAAAACAAAAAAAGATCCATAGAGAAAGATTTAGGGCAAGGAACAGAAGTAGGCGTCAATTGGTGCAAATAGACTCTTTTTATTTTTTGTAACCACACCTTTCACGTCCCCTCCTAAAATGGGAACACTAATGACAGTTAAACGGTTCACTACCTTCATGTAGGATACTTAAACAACGACAAAACGCATGATATGTATCCCTCTATCAATGCCTATCCTGCCTTCATCTATTTCCGTGTACCCCTTTTTAATCGCTGCCGTGGCATGTGGATGGACGGCTGAGGGGCTCCTCGGTGCTAATTCAACCACCACTACCAAAGTTTATAGTATTTTCTAGACATTCGATGCCACTCCGCTCTCCTTCCCCCCCCCCCCCCCTTGAACCTCACCTTCGTCAGTAGTAATCGACGAGGAGGAGGAGCCGCATCAGCGACGCCGCGCAGCTCTCCAACCCCACCACCGACCGCTCCGTCTGCACCGCCCGGCGGAGGGTTTCGGGGCTGATTTTCCCCTCCCCTCCCGCGCCGGCGCCGAGGGACGGCGCGGGCGATCCCTCGCCCTGCACCACACCGAAGATCGCGCGCCCCTCCCGTTCTCCTGCCCTTCCCCTTCCCCCCTCCGCCACGACCTCGCGAAGCTTCACGAGCGCGTGGTGGAGGGTTTTGGCGAGCTGCTCCCGCACGTTCGGCCGGACCCCCCGCTCCAGCGTGCACCCCCACAGAAAAATCGAATTTTTCACCACCCGCTGCTCCCCGACGGCGCCGCCGCCGCGTGGGGCCTCCTGGAGGTGGACGTAGCCGTCGCGCAGCATCGCGTGGAGGGCCTCGCGCGCGCGCGGCTGCGTCGCCACGGCGGCTTCGGCGAGCGTCCGATCCTCGAGCAGGCGATCCCGCAGCAGCAGACGGATCAGGCGGACGCCGAGGACGCCGTGGCGGGCGAAGACCACCCGCTCGCAGACCTCCCGCTGCAG